CCTCGTAAGCCAGCTGGGCTACACGCGCAGTCTGTATGGTAGCCTATGTGCCATGACAATCAGCGGCAACATACTCACCTTACACAAACATGTCAGGGTAATGGTGGCTGACAGCACTAGCATCATCAACCAGATCAGTTCAAACACAATCACTGCTACAGTGCTTGGAAGAGGAGACCGCTGGGAGACTCAAGACACTAAGACACAGTGTAATATTCCTTTAAATATTCCCATAGGGACTCATGTGAGTGTAGTGGACTTGCTCTACTTTGTGGTCTTTATCATTGTTTTAATGTGCTGTTACATTCCCAAATGGGGCTTGTGCTTTTGTTGTGATATTAGTATTATTATGAGTAGCATACTGGCTAAAACACAATCCCCGCTGATTGTGGCAGGTGTTTATTCTCCTAAACAAACTGCACATCCAGGCCTCACCGCTGCGGACTCCCTCCCCTCATACCTGCCCGTAATTAGGCCCCTTTCGGGGACTCAGTGGTGCCTCGATCTCGGACAGCTCGGCGATGTGCATTTGTGAGGCCTTGGTTATCTCTGCCTAACAGGGATGGCTATGGCGAAAATACACTCACGAGGCAAATATCACCCCGGTACCGTTAGTGTAATTTACTGTCTCAGTGGAGCAGGTGATGAACGTGTGACAAACACCACAACGGGCCCCGTGACGCGTCGCTTGGACACAAAACGAGGAGCGCATGATCACAAACCAATGAGGGTGGCTACTGGGAGAAAATAAGGGGGGGGTGGGGGGTTGTAAATGAGATAATGAGGAGGGGAACGGCGTTAATAATATAAGCCAGAAATTACTTACATCTCTGAATTTATCCCATCTCCCAGCGAGCCACTTATCATCCAAAAAATTGCCGCTGTCTGAGCGAGCGGAGACGTGTCCAAAGGCGACGGCGCACACACACAGCAAGGCGACGCTCAGCATCTGCGGACACACAACAACAGCACGGAGAGAGGACATGGATCAGGCTGTAGGACACCGCAGTCCACCGCTGAAAAACAGAGGCACCTCAATCTGCATCACAACAGCGATGAATGCTGATCGTCAACACTGAATATAACGATGCGGAGGTGTTTTCTTTTTCTCCTACCTTGTCGCATCAACTGCTCTCCAGACTGTATGTGCTCGCTGCCGTTTTCTGTCACTAGTAATAGCAGCTCTCTCTCTCTCCCTCCCTCTCTGTCTCCCTTTCTCTCTCTCTCTTTGTAGCGAGACATGAGCAGGGGTGCCTTGTCCGACGTGCCTTTTTATCTCTCCTTTTTTTTTTGGTGGTGTTTTGCATGTATCTGAATGATAATGGGACATATTGTTCCCTCGCACTGCTGATTGATTGAGTGTGTTTTTGTGCATGCATCCAGTTGTATTTGTCCCTTTTTGGCACCACTTTGAATTTTGAATTTAAAATTTTTATTTTAGTGTGTTTTTATGTTTAATGGGGATAATGTGTTGCATGATTTCAAAGCACAGTGGGGAGAGTTTGCAGCTTTTATTCTCATTTCTGTCTGAAGAAATGAATTTCTTTAATAGACAAAGCATCTTTTATTTTATTTTTAACGGGGGAACAGATGTAATGTGTCAGCACATTTGTCAAAAAATTGCACACACACTTTATATGCTGTATGTTCTGGCAACAATGCATCCCACATATTGTCAATATATTAGAGATTGTACACAAAATAGAATTCTTTCTTTAACTTTATTTTTGATATTAACACAATAAAAATGAGTTCCCCGTTCCTCCTTTAGCCCTTACTCTATATATAATCCACATTAGAGGCTTCTATTTTCAGGATCAACTCTTTTTTAAAGCTTATGTTTAATGTATGCATTGGTGTGTGTGTGTGTGTGTGTGTTATTACCTCGCTGACGTCTTCATGTTCATGCTGATTCCTCCTTTATGCGCAGTGTCACCAACTATCACTTTTTCTCCCTGAGTGTGTTTTTGAGTGTGTGTGAGTGTGTTTCCAGATAAGTGCGAGCACAGCGGCGTGTGTGTGTGTGTGTGTGTGGAGTCTTAGCCGTGGATTACAGGCCTCACAGATAGGCTTGTATCCAGACTGCTGTCTGACATGAGTTGATGGGATTACAGGAGGCGGGTGTCTGTCCACCATCCCCACCTTGTCCGTCCCTCGATGGGTGGAAGAGAGGTGCAACCAGGGGGTCATTTTGTGTGTGTGTGTGTGTGTGTTAGACCACTACAGGGTGATGATTATATTGTTTTTAATTCAGGCTGATTTAAAGTTTTCAGATTTTTCAAGCTGTTGAGTAGAACTGAAACAGGACATTGTGTGAATTTTATTGTCAGTGGGCTGTTTAGGCAAACCAGAAACAAACTTAATTATGGAAATTTGCTATGTTATGTAGCAGTGTGTCTTATATTATATTAAACTGAAGATTTTGGATTGTTGGTCGAACAAAAAAAGACATTTAAAGACCTCAGCTTGGACTCTCAAAACTTGTTTTTCATGGATTGAATTGGAAACCAATCAGAATGAATAATTTTTACTTAACTTTAAAATAGCCATTTATTTAGTTTTCTTACACCCCTTAAAACCAAGAAGGCCTTGCGACCACCCAAGAAGCTTTGGCGACCCCTAGTGGGGTCCCGACCCCTGGGTTTGCTTCATGTCGCCCTGTGTATCAGCCTCAGCCTCAGGTGTGTTTTAGTGTATTTTAAAAAGCCTTCAGAGGCCTATAGAAGATTAGTCAGTGTGTGTACTTCCTCTCTGATGTTACCTCTGACCCCCACTTTGCATTCAGCACTTTATTTTATCACTAAACACCACGGGAGCTGTCCCTCCCCGCCATACCTCGACGCACTCATTACGCCGGGCGAATCACAGATAACCTTATCTATTCATACAATCCAGATCGTTTCATAATCTGAGCCGGTGGCTCGTCTCCGCAAGCCAAAGGCAAAGGATGGATGTGGATGCAAGTCCACTTCAACTGATTAGTGTGTGAAGTGTGCTTGTTAGGCATACTGTGAAGTGTGCTTGTTATATATCCAGCCCTCTCGCTTGATTACTGCTGGCGCTCTGCTACCGACGGCTGTGTACAAGACACTGCTGGGATCTGATGTGTCCGGTGGCTGATAGGAAATGGAGAAATATTAGCAGCTCCTGTTTTGAAAACAAGGAATTTCGAAGACAGAATTAAACTCTCTGAAATGTAATAAAAAATCTATTACATTATTTAACTTTATTCTCTTCCTTACATGTCCTTCTGTTCTCCTTTTTCTCACCCTCTTTTGTACTTGGCAGAGCTTAAGTAGGGCCAATTAAATATGTTATTCCATATGCTGTACTGTTGGACATGCTCTTCCATAATGCATGCATTTCATACAAGAATCCCTCAGCAATTGTGCGACTGAATCTAATACGGGTTTGAAATATAATGTGAATATTTGAGGGGGGTGAAATCGCCTGCTGTGATTCTCCATCTGGCCCCCGCACAGTATTGGAATGGACCGTCCTCCTTTACCATGCCGTCCCAGAATAAGCTTCACTTTAAAGGATCAATGCTTTTATTATTGAAGTCGGTCTCTGTAGTGCAGGCTAATACATTCTGCATTGATCTCCCCCCCTTCCACCTCCCACCTCCCCAAAACCTTTATTGCCATTCCTTCCAGCGAGGCTCGCCGCATTTAAAAAGATATCTTCGGCCGAATAAAGATTTTACAAAGTGACTGGAGGACAAATAAGCCTATAAACTGGGGTATTCACATCTTAGTGGGAAGGAAAGACAGGGGAGAAGAAGGAGTCGGAGTTGCCAGCAGGCGTTTTGAATATCATTACCAGCTTTGCGGGCAGAAATTGAAATCATAAGCATAAGGAAAGTACCTGGTAATTAAAACTGTCTCGCTGCACCAAGGCTTTGATACCTGCTCAAGAAAGTAGCGTGTTTCTGCCTGGATGTAGATATTGCAGCTGCACAAATTTGGGAGCATGTGAAAGTGTGTTTTGCTCTTTTTCCCCCTCCTCTGTCAGGAGGATGTGTGTCGATGACAAGCTGTACGGCGTGTGTGAAAGCAGCCGTGGATCTGTCTCTTATTACGACACACATTCCTCCGACTAGACCTGCTCAGTCTCCGGGTGATGACTGCTAAAGACGAGTGCTTAGGCTGATTAATGTTCACATTCATTAATCATTTTATTTGTTAGATGGAATTTATTGTGAGAAAAGAAGAGAAACATGCCGCCGTCGTCTCATGTTTGCGGCCTGTGGAGCACAAACCACAAACACTTTGACGCGGCTGTATCAAAATCAAACCCCGAAGCATGCGTGCCAGACCCTTATTGAACAAATTTGCGCCAGTGAAGCCAGCAGTTGAGGACATTAATGATCTGGACCCACTGGGGGTCTGGTGCTCCGCGCCCACAGGCTAGCTGCTCGATCCCCAATCAATAGCTTTTTATTAAAATTGTTTGCGAGGCAACACAAATCCATATTGTTTTGCCTCGGACAGGGGCGGCCGTGTGAAATATGTCGGACATATTTATATATTTCTTTCCAGATGAATGAGGGAAATGATTGGTTGATATGCATGAGGGAAAAAAACACAGGGGCAGTGGTTTGGCATTATTGGAATATCCATTTCAACATTGATTTTCATAAGAGATGCATTTGTGATTATCTTATTTTCTCTTCCCTCAACAGGGTTGAATTACATATCATATTATCCCTGGTATTAAGGCAAAATTAATAACACAAGTAATTATAATACTTAGGTCTAATGATATGCTGCGAGGGCCCTATTGATTCAGTCGAGATGCATCTAGGGGAAATGGCTTGGAGCTTTGCCTGACGACAGGCGCTGCCAGTGTGCTCGGCTCGTGCAGAGTGGCAGAATAAGATCAACAGCATGAACCTCCATCCACGTTCGTTTCATACTTGAAATCCAATCTGCGGCCAGCGGTTGAGCTTTGATACCTGTTTCTCATAATGCGCCTAAACCCTCCGACGCTAGTTAGCCCTCGCACTGATTGTATTTGAAGTTTTGATTTGTTCGGCAGTGCGTCCCCTCTGAGCTGCACCGCTTTATTTACTTTCTTCTTTCTCAGTCATATGAAGATAAACGAGACGGGACAGACAAGGATTTATTTATTTATTTATGTATTCGCTGCAACAACAAAAAAATTGCAGAGTGACAGATAAGACACAAAAACGAAGACATCACAATGAATGCTAGAGTTTTTATTGGATTTCAGTGTGTGTTCATGAATACAGTTGCCCACTGTCGACAGGTTTTTATCACAGTGGTGGTCAGTGGTTCTGTATCTGTACAGTGGCTGAAACAGAAACCTCCGTTTGGGATGCTTCCTTCTCAGCTGTAAAACAACCAGGGAATGTGTTTGATCAGCAGACTAGAATTATGTTAGTATTAAATGAACCCATAGTGTTTGTGTTTAGTAAATGATTGTTGGACGTGATTCAAAGATAATTCAGAAGAATGAAATCATGCTGGTCCAACAAGAACAAATCATATTAAATTGCTTCATTCTGACCTTTTGGCTTTTGTTCCACCTCCATCATTTTTATGTAAGTTACACTCAGAAATAATTCTTTGAGTTTACGTAATTAAATTGTGGAGAGTATTTGTGATTAAATGGCTTTCTTTCAGGATAAAGCAATTCTGTTGGGTCAACTTTATCTACTTGACTTTGATCAACTTAATTTACTAGTGTAATTTTACAACTGTTAAATCAGTCGTATTGAATTAAGTTGGACCAACAGAAATACTTAGAGGTGTATCTATAGAAATTGATATCCATTATGACCCTTTGACCTGGAACAAAGTACAGAAGGACTTGAAATTGATAGAGTGATTAATATTGGTGAATTCAATCAATTTGAAAAGATGTGAAAAATGCTGCAGCGCTCTATTGTTTTTTCACCTTTCAGTCAGTTTAAGTTGTCTATATTTTCTTAAGCTGCCCTCTTGCTCGCGTCTCTCTTGATGAAAAAAAGACGTTCACCACTTAAGTAGAAGGTGAAATGAAAGAATGGTGAGGAAAAGAAACGTTTAAATGTCGAAAGAGCGAGGAGAAAGGATGGATTTTGCAGTTTTTCTCCTGATGTGTGTCTTCCAGGTGTATATTTCTTATAATCTCATAGATTTTATATAAATATAGACACAAAATACGAACCCAGATGTCAGCGGTTGCCCCACCGCTCTGCCTCGTTT